TTTTTGGAAAGCTCCTTTTCAAGGCTGAAAGTTCAGCTCTCTAGGCCTGTTTTTCAGAGTTCCCCCCCCCCAAAAAAAATTAAGCGAAATCTAAATTTATATATTAAAAGTTAGCGGTTAGCGGCAAATTCCGCTACATTTTTTGGTGATTTATCGGTTTAGCCTTATCGAAGCTAACTTTTCAGTTAGCGGATTAGCGGTTATCGAAGCTAACTTTTAGGTTAGCTGTGCCCACCACTGGCCACAGGTGCAAAGTTCAAATTACCAAGTAAAAGTAGCGTCGGCACAGAGACGGCAAAATGAAGCAACTGGAGTTCTTTGTTCAGGAAGACGCGAGAAATCCATCCCTGAAGATGCGGAAGTAGCAATACCTGAGTGCGTTAAAGATATGCAAAAAATATAACTCAGTACTCACTGCAGTGAGTGACAGAGAGCACATTTTCTCGTCGACGAAAACGTGAAGTCACGGACTGACAGACGGACAGACGGACATGGCGAGCACAATAGCGCCTTTTTTCCATAAATGAGAAAATGCGCTAAAGAGAGTGTTCCGAATGACATGTAAAGGTGTAAGGAGAATTGCAGTGTTGCTGAGCGACATAACATAAATCGCTCATTTATAACAAGCAAACCAAAATGGCTGGCAGAGATTGGCTGAAGAATTTTATGGAGCAGCACAATTCAAGTTTTTGCATTCCTAAAATCAACAAGTTTGGCTCGTTGTTGACTCTATTGAGCCAAAAGTTGATGAGTTTTTATGGTGTTGGCTAAATCACGAGTAAGGACGAATTCCTTGCACATATTATCTGAATTATGGACAAAACAAGAACGAAGTTTTTTCTGGTCATGTATATATATTTTTTTCTAGTCAAGGATACGTTTTTTCATGTTCAAGGATTTATATTTTGCAAGCCAAGGAAATATTTTTTCACGTCAGTGATAAGCCTTTTAAGGATAGAAAAATATTTTTGCCAAGTTACGGACATACTTTTTGAAGTTGTTAGTAAATGAGTGGATGTAATCTTTTTTATTACATTGAACTGTAAAGTGTTGTTTTATCATCTTTAAAATAAAAAAATATGCACTTGGAGTAAAGGCTTCAAGGGGTGGGCGCATTGCTTGCGCCCATGGGCCCATCTCCCCAGCGTTGGCGCAATTAATGGGCCCACTTCGACACTATTTAGAAAATAATTTTTCATTGAAAATTTAATAAATCCATTGGCTTTTAATCAATCCACATCATACATTCCTCATTAGTTGTAACTTTAAATATAACCATGAACGACCTCGTATAAATTAAAACTTTATAAAAAATTTATTTGGAGAAAGGTGGGCCCATGTTACCCTACACAAAATAAAATGGTGCTTGAGTTAAAATTGTGCACAATTTTTGCAAGATGACAAATTTTCCGTTTCATTTCAGTTCTTTTGACTTATTCAAAATCATACAAATAAAGAACAAACCTTGAATTCCCGTACTTCGCTGTCATGAAATCGGTCTTCTCGATTCTAATGAATAATTTATCTATTATTTGAATTCACAAATCAGCCACTATATCTCATTAGTTCAAGTGTTTGGCCACACGCAGGAGCTAATTATCACTGGCGGAAGCAACTTAACTTCCCATTTGTTGATTATCAAAAAACTGCATATTATAATACACACGTAAATCATGGATAGAGAGCACCTGTATTTTATTACCAAATCAACACAGACGTACTCAAAATATTTTAAAAAATATACAATAATGAGACATTTGGTGCGTGAATATTCACAAGATCAGGTATTGGGCCAAGTTTGAATCACGAAGCATATTAGAAAAAATACCGAACATTTCTTTATTTCATTGCAGAAAAGACTGTCAATAATCCCAGCTAAATAACGAGCTAAAAAATGGCTTCCAAATCATTTTCTCATTTAAGAAAAAATCAATGTAAAAATTATCTGAACTTATGAATAGGAGAAAAGTTTTTTCTCAGTGTGATTAAATTGATTAGCATTTCATGCATAATTCATTCTGCCAGGCTGATCGTTCGGACACTTGTGGACCGAAAATTGGGACGAGTTTTAGACCGAATTCTAGAGTGCACTCAGGCGGCACCTCTTTGCCCATAAATTTGCCAAAATCAAAATGGATTCCAGCCAAATTAACAACTACGTATTTTATTTGCAATCGTTTCTGCCGGCGTTGTCCGTTTTTTTCAATTGGGGAGTGCTTCAACCCGCGGTCAGACCTTCCACATAACACATATTCATTCATTCAAAAAGAACTAAATAAAAGTAGCGATTCTCTTGGGCGCTCAAAGATCCGGCCAACAATGTATTTTTACAATATCGGGAATAAAATAAATAAAGGAAGTTCTAAGAAAGTGTGGAAGAGTGTGGTGTTTCCCAGTATTATGTATGAATTAAATGTATTAGTGTACAGTTATGGTGAGCTCGATAAACTGGAAGTGGTACAGAATAGAGTGGCGAGATTGGAAGAAGAATGAGAGCTGTTTTGAAGTATTATATCATATCATAGTGATGTAGGCGCTGAAGAATAGGCCAGCATGGTGTGGCCTGTCGCCAATTCTTGTACTTTTCGCGACACGTTCACAAGAAATTTAAAACAGGTCCTTTGACCGGAACTTTCAAAACAGACGATTGTTTTAAATAACTACTAGACTTCTACCAGGTTCGATATGGTGCTAGGCATTTCAAGTATGAACACATATTTCCCCATGCCATTTATACTCGGAACGTCAACGATGTAATCAGGGAGGCTGATCCACATGTCGCGTGGATGAGTTGCAACGCAGTTTTTTAGTTTATAGCCGTGCCCCCCGGCATTGATTCTTGTTTCAAATTTTAGTAATCCTTCTGGGACCTTGTATAAACAATGAGTATACTTGTATACTTCAATGAGGTCCCCACGCCGACGTCGATAACTGAGGCTTGGAAGCATCAGAATCTTAAATTTTTCTTTGCCAGACTTGCCCTTCAAGCCTGGAATTATCCTTGTTGCAAGCGTATGTCATAAATATCCTAGAACTGTCTTTTTTCTTTGAACATTTTCAAAAATTTTTTTTTTCAAGTTTCGGTGACCACACGGCGTTTCCAAACTCTAGGTTCAGGAGCACGTCAGCGAAAAAAAAACAGCTTGATTGCTTCTGCATCTAGGAACTCGTATGAGCGTCTGATCAGTCCAAGAAGTTTATTGAATTTATCAGCTTGCGTTTGAATATTCCTAGGAAATTTCTGCTCCTTTTCGACATAAACTCCCAAATATTTGTCCGCGCTAGACTCTTCAATCATTACTCTCTCGATAATATTGGCCTAGAACGAATGAATGATGGACGTTGCGCGTTTTATGTTTGGACGTTTTATGTTTGTAGAAAATAAGGATGAGCTAATGAGCAAGGAGATGCCGTGCATTGGTAAGTAAGTGTGGTCTGCATGAGGCATGGATACGTCCAGCAGGGCTTGTTGGGCCAATGAACGAATGAAAAGTGACAATACGAGGAGCAGATGATTAAAGTGAGCTCAAATTAGTAAAAAAAGAAACTAATAAGAAATTTGGGTAGGAGATATATAAGCATGAAATGGAAAGAAGGGAAACCTTCAAGCTGCATCAACTGTAAGTATAAATGTGTGCATGATGGAAGTACAGGTAGGGAATTACACTTGTGCATGAGGGCAGGGGCGTCGGGTGTGAATGTACTTGATTGGTAAATGTGTGGCGTATGAGAAAGAACGACATTCTACGGTGGAGGTGATAATGAATGAGGGATCAGAGTACGTTAGTGTTGTTTTAGTGAACAAGTGAGGAGTAGATAGCAATGATCGTGCGTTCGTTTGAGGGACCAAATGGGCTGTGATTGAGAGTGCAAAGAGATATTTGGAGAGCGTGTGGAGGCTGAGGGAGAAAGAAAAAAAAAGATGTGAAGGGCAAAAAAGGGGGACAAAAGACCGAATTGATCGAGCCATATGTTTGTGTTTTTCTCCTATTTTTGAAAATGTACGTAGAAATTTTTTATTTTGAACATATTTTAGTTTCATCGGCTATTGCCGGGAACTCCTAGTTTGCTGAATGTTTTAGCTCTCATAAGAAAAGCGAAATTTCTCATTCGGTTCCCTATAATAAATTAATATGAATGAAGAGGGCAGGGTGGCTCGGTGGAGGGTAGGGTGGCCAAGTGGTTACAGTTCAGCAGAGTACCAAAATCGGCGCAGAGAGGCGCGGGTTCGATCCCAGCTCTGTGCGCCGGTTTCTGGTCAAAATCGGCGAGGAGGCTGGGCACAGCAGAATTGTAGGAGTGAGTTGCGAGTTCGAGACCGCAAAATGATGTGAATGTTCTGCTATGTTAAGAATCGGCGACAGGCCTACGGCCAACTAAACGCTGAAACCGCTATATATATACCGCTATGTGTTTTGTGATTGATCAATCTAAAGGTCTGACGGCATGTCAACTCGCTCCCAATTTCATTCCTATTTCATATACTAAAGGGTTGGTTAATTGGATAGAGCTTGTAGAGAATAGAATATATTCTATTCCAAACGTTCCAAAATTAATTTACTAGCGTAAAAGGCAGCTGCCATTGCTCTATTACCTTATATCCTTGATTATATAATGACAGATGCGAAATTATATTTTGCTAAAAATAAGATAGAATTGGCGTGTTTTGTAAGGTCATATTCAAAAAGTGTTAATTTACGGGCGCAGTGAAAGACGATTGATTCATATTTAATAATAATGGCAAGTATTTGCTGTTCGAAGTACATGTTAGAGTTCAATAACAAAATACCTTATAAACCATATGATGAAATAATTACTTGATTGAAATTGATGATTTCATCGTCAATCCATATGTATTGCAGTAAACTGTTGCAGATTTCAAATTAATTTATTTTATATTTTGGAAGACGAATGTACAAATTATTATATATCTGTTCAATAATTCTGGCAGTGTAGCGAAAGTATTATTTTTGTCTAGAACAGATCTAGGAAACATTTGAGATCTGGCATCATATGATCATATTAGCAGTCCACAGCTGAGCCACCGGTTCTAAGTTGATACGTATTTTTCTGTACTTTTAACAAAATGCAGGGACTTTCTTTTGCTAGCATCAAGAAACATCCTTCGGTGAGTCCTTTTGTAGCATTTTCTAGCTTATTTCAGCGTTTTTGAAGCATTGGTTGTTTAATTTAAGACGCACGGAAGGTTGCCTGCCTTGAAATTTCTCGTCTTCTCGCCCCGTAGAAAAGTGTGTATCAGCTTATGGATAAATCCAGGATAATTGGAAGTTGGAACAATTATCAACTCCTTTCAAATGTTCCATCTTATTCCAAGATTTAATTTCATTTTTATTGATTCGAAAAAAGTATTCCTAAGATTAAAGCTGAATTGATTTATTGTACAAGTTTTAGCTACTGTATATGTCATGCTTGAGCATAGGTACTCTAACCTTGCAGTGGCTGGCTGGCTCTGGCTGCAAGCCTGCTAAGATCATTATTCATTAAGATGACATAATTTAAAATGCAGTAATAACTAATAAGGGACAATTTTTAGCATTTTAAAAATAAATTCTCAACCTGAAACATTTCATTAACAAATTTGGGCTCATTTAAAAGGTCATTGTTATTTGTTAGGGCTACTGTATACCTATATCAATTTGTATGACATCATTGACATCTCCAAATAAATTCAAATTATTCCATATGCTATTCATAAGGTGGCAGAAGCAGAAAAAAACCATCCCAAATTACCCCTGGAAATGGAGTAATCTGGGACACGCGAAATAAAATTCAATTTTAAAACATAACCAGTGGTTCCCAAAGTGGGCAATATTGCCCCCCTAGGGGCGGTGGAAAGATTTTGGGGGGCAATAAGGAAGAAGAGAGCGGTAGTCCAAACTCCAAAGTCAATGTCAGAAGTTTGAATGTTTGTTTGACGATTTGTACACAACATGTGCAGCAGTGCAGGCTGCAGCACATGATTCCCAGCAATGGTTTTTTCACCCAGATCTGTTTTTTAACCTCTAATGGGTTAATATCATGGACAAATTAACGGTCAGACTCGAGGCGGTCTCACGGCCAATTTCTAAATTAAATGATCATGGAATGTCTCTCAAACTAATGAACTTAACTCGATGAAACTTAGTACACATATTCACTAGGACCTAACAATAAGGTTTTGCTCATGAAAATTCTTTTGAATTTTGCCATCGTTTATTTTTGCCATAGTTATATGGCAATACGGGCCAAAATTCACAGTGATCAAGTAATTTCTTCCAAACTAATAAACAGATTTAAACTAAATTTGAATTTACAGTCCTAACTACCAAACGGTAATGATGAGCTCGTGAAAATTTTTTTGATTGTGCCTTTGTTCGCGAGTTGTTTTTTCATTTCATCTTCATTCGTGATTTAAATAGCAATTCGTGCTTAAATTTGCTGTAATCAAGAAATTTTTTCCAAACTACTGAACAGATTTGAACGAAACTTTGTATTTAAATACCTAACCTCGGCAATGGTGATGTTTACAATTTTTTCTTTTTGCCTTCTTTTGCGAGTTATGCGGCTATACGTATACCGGGTTACGGCTCTTGGTTAAACCGGCCGGTAGAAAATAGCCACTTGTTTCTTCTATATCTTGCAAACGAAAGCAAGATAGAAAAATTGTCACAAGCTAAACATCACTGTTGAGAGGTTATGTATTTATATACAAAGTTTCTTTGAAATCTGTTCTGTAGTTTAGAAGAAATTTCTTGTTCACCGCGAATTTAAGTGACAAATTAACTGGCAATATGGGCCGAATATAAGGAAGTGTGAAATCAAGAATGACGGTGAAATGAAAAAACTCGCAAACAAAGGTAAAGATGAAAAAATGTTATAAGCTAAAAAATCACCGCTTGGTAGTTACGAATGTATATTCAAAATTTCGTTCAAAGTTCAATAGTTTGGAAGAAATTCTTTGATCAATGCAAATTTCAGCCTGTTTTGCAATATATGCGCAACTCACAAATGAAGGTGAGAGTTGAAAAAATTTACAAGCTAAACATCACCATTAGGTTCTGATGAATATGTGTTCCAAGTTTCATAGAGCTGCGTTAATTAGTTTGGGCAATTTACTTGATAATTGAATTTGGAGATTGGTTGTGAGACCGACCACGATCAAGTCCGGCCGTAAATTTGCCCGCGACGTCCTTGGCTTCTAGTGCTGAAACAGTTAAAACAGCTGAAAAACATGTTGGTTCACTAAATGGGGTTCTATTTGTGAAATACACATTTGTGTTTAACCTATATCTTTTAAAATTGCAGCGTACTTAATTTCAAGAAAGTGGCGTATGTCTGGGGGGGGGGCGATAGAAATTCACTAGGGAGCCAAAGGGGGCGCCAGCCTGAAAAAGTTTGGGAACCACTGATTTAAACCATGCAAAATGAACTCCATTACCAAATGGGGTAATAAGGGATGGGCCGTGAGGGGGAAATCAGGATTACGCCAGGATAGTCCCACATTTTGTAGAAATGTTGTAGCAGCTAAACTAATCAAAATGCTGCAAAACTAAAAATAGTGGAGTAAATTTCAACATTTTTAATATCTATGTGGCATAAAGTAAGTTAAGAAATTGTACATTTAAAACCTCTAAAAAATACCTGAAAATATGTGTGAAAAATGATTTTGAAAATGTACCTTGGCTAAGGTCTGTAGCAAAAAAATTTGCCGTATCAGAAAATTTTACTTGCATAACAGTTGCACACAGGTGTTGGCTTGAAAACGTGATCGACAAAATTCTCATCTCATTCCAGAAAAAAATTGTGGCCATTTCCACAGGATGGGGTAATAAGGGACACCCCTAAAAATGCATTTACAGTATAACTTTGATTAGCAAAGGCTCCAGTTAATGGAAAAATCAATTAACAACAAAAAAAATTTTGATTATATTTACCTCGCTCAGCAAAGAAAAATTTCAGATGAAAAATTAATTAATCACAAAATTGTGCATAGAATGCCATAGATAGAATTGTGCACTGGACAACATGAAATGAAAAGTAATTAACCTAAACTATGATTTATTTCTCCAAAAACTAAAATGGTTGTCAGTAGGATATTTCTTTCTGTTTCAGGTATGTTTTTTTTTACAATTTTTTGTTAGTGAAATCACTTGACCCAATTAAAATGGTGTGAAATTACAAGCTGCCCTGTAAGCTTACAGCTAAAAAAAGTGCTATATGGCTGCTGATATGAAGTTTGTAGTGGACAAGCTTGTTGTAAATGCTCAATGGTATGTTCATGGATACAATAATATCACATCAATAATACGGTAATGTATGGATATGGTAATATCATATTGATAAAGGAAAAACGAGTAAAAATTACAGATAAAATACAATTATTCTAGATCTACATCATCTACAAAGGAAAAGAAGACTTATGAGTACAGTTAGTAATAGATGATTACACACTCTGCATGCTTCAAATGTTTTACAATTAGGTTTTATTTCAAGTGTCCCAGATTATCCCGTTCCCAGGGGTAATTTGGGACGCTTTTATTTTATGTCTGGCGCCTTATGAATGGCATATGGAATTTTCTTCAGATGCCATATGATAGCCCTCGCAAAGAGCTATAAAATGAACCCAAACTTGTTTATGAAATGTTTCATAGTAAGAAGTTATTAACGAATAATGCTCAAAACCGTCCCTTATTACCCCGTTCGATGGTACTTTAAACAAAAGTCCTCCTCAGGCTCCTCTCCTTTTGTAGATGATGTAGATGTAGAATAAATGACACTTTTGTGATTTTTACTTGGTTTTTTCCTTTATTGACATATTACCTTTACCATAATCTGAGGAGTATGACTGTATGATCTATTAGAATTTTCCTGAGCAGTGAGGCTGATTTTGACCAAATTTCAAATTGATCCCTCTGTAAATTACCGAGATAAAATTTAGGGTAGATGCTCCCCTTAATGAGTACACATAGAAGGATTTTGCAAACACACAACTTAAAGGTGGTGCAAAGCCATGAAAAAATCACAAAAACATGAATTTTAACACAATTTTGACTAATGGTGGATTTTTGAGACAGAGCTATCCTTGTTTTTCTTAAACAGCAAATATTTCAAACACCTTGACATATTGGTAACTTTTTATCACTAATGCGGCAAGGTTCAAAAACAACCAACTCTCTTTCATGGCCTGTTATCATCATAGATGTGGTAATTAGCAGCCATTTTAGGTACTAATGATGTAATTGTATTGAATATCAAGTCAATGTGAAACTAAATATTTATTGATAGGCAGTGAAGAAAATAAAGATGAAATACAACTAAATGAACTAATTATCATTTCAAGATAACAATGGAATCCAATAAAGTAACCTACAGACTTGCAGATAAATATTCAACAGTGAAATCCTTGAGCCAACCTAGGCAGATGTGGAGGGGTGGGGCAGGGAATTGTGCATCGGTTAATAATAATAATAATAGTGGTCTCAGCGTTTAGTAGGCCATAGGCCTATCGCCGATTCTTAATATCACAGAACATTCACAGCATTTTGCGGTCTCAAACACGCAACTCGCTGCTACAATTCTGCTGTGCTTAACCGCCCGGCCTCCTCGCCGATTCTGACCAGAAACTGGCGCACAGAGCTGGGATCGAACCCACGCCTCTCTGCGCCAATCCTGGTGCTCTGAACTGTAACCACTGGGCTACCCTGCTTAACTTGCTTATGAGGCTAGATGAACCTCTTGGTATCAGTTGATTCTTGCCATATTTAATTTACTGATTTCTAGATTAATAATAAATCTTATTTTCACATTATTACATCAATAAATGAGGTTAGCTGTCAAAAAGTTACCATTACCGTACAGTCAAAATTACGCTGACATTCAAATTTTTTGTGACTTACAATGGCTTTATGCTACCTACCTCTAAAAATTGTTTATTTGGAAACAGGGTTGGCAATGATTAAATCGAAATGATTAAATCATGTGATTAAATCACTTGATTTTTTTATAAAAAAATCATGATTTTTTTTATTTTTTTTTTATTTTTTCATAAATTTAAATATATTGAGTGGCAGTCTTTAATTTATATTGAGGTATTGTTATTCATGGTTTAGTATGAATGTACTATGAATGACAAATTGGTGTATAAACTTGTTGCCTTTAATGTGTATTAGGTTCCAATAAATTGAATGTTTTTGGTACAGAGGCATCAAGTGTGCAATACATTGTACGTAGCTAGCAGCTCAGCTAATTCTTATAAGGCTATAAGTAGTCTTTACCTATTTGACTATTTGTTATATATTGATTACAATATACAATTTAAATGTGTTAGCTAGCTTATACAGGGTGGGGCAGAACTTATTGAACAGTTTGAGGCAAAATAAAAGGGTAATGGAGGTACATAAAGAAGAAAGTTTATTTTCCTCAAGATTAGCATAACATACCATTTAAAATACTTATGTTTTGAAAACACTATCAGGAAGATGGGGTTTGTTAGCTGCATTACACAGTTGGAGTCGTTCTCGGAATTTTCTACAGCACATTCACACATATGGCGAGGTTTGGCCATAACCTCTGCTGCAATAATCCATTCAATCGGTTCTGCCCCACCCTGTATATTGAAAGGTTGAGATTGTATTGACCTTTTAGGCAATTAGAAAGATTTTCCACCCTAATACGAGTATTCTAATTAAAATATTTAATTTCAATCTTTAAATATGTGAATTTGAAACTAGAAACAAAATAATTACAATTATAAGACTATATATTAAACAATTATTAAATGCAGTGAATGGATATAAAATATTTGAATTGTGCACATGTTTATTTCAAACAGTATTAGATTTTCTCATAACTTAAGTCTCGTTTCAAGTCCTATGAGGTTTGTTTGTTTATGGTTCAGTTTATGTTTATTATTGGTTTATTGGTCTGAATTGAATGGGAACAGTGCAGTCAGTCACTCAGTCACTACTAGTCGGTGTGCATAGAAGGTAGAGTCTGGTAGATTTATAGGACATAAAACTAGTAGATCATTTTAATTAGCAGCTGTCCACATGAAAAAAAAAAATATTAGTTGGATAGTAAAAAAATGGTAAGTAGATCCACTCTACTGTGCAATTTTTAGAACAATTGCTTGCTTTCAATTTTTAATTGCATGTGTATTGGTTTGCCTATTTCTATTCTAATCTAATTAAAGCCATTTTTCAGTTGATTCCATTGTACTTCTGCCTGGGTGCGGGCTGCCTCATGGCTACGCTGTACACGGCGCGTCTGGCCCTCAAGAATCCTGACGTCTCCTGGAATAGGAAAGTGGATCCCAATGAGGCGTACCGCACCAAGCAGTATAAAGTAAGAGCTTATCTTTCAATTCTGTATTGATTTATTGAAAGTTTTTCCATGTTCATTAATATTCCATGATGATATTCCCTTCACATCAGATATTTGTCATGGCGGCATGCAATTCTTGCAGCTACTTGTTCCGCTGAAAACTAAGGTATTGTTAAGAATGAGTGTGCTTGTCTAGTATTGCTGCATCTGTCTGGTATTACAACATTTTTGTACTGCTTTTATTCTAATTTCTGCTACTGAATACCAGCAACTACTGATGAAGTAAATAAAATGCCAAAAAACTTTCACTAAATATAATATTCTAAAAAATATTTAAATATTTTATAAAAAATATTAAATAAATTATATTAAATACTAATAAAAATAAAATAATATTCTAAAAATACACTAAATAAAATTCTAGTCAATATTCTTTGAATTTCTAGGAAAATGGTTTTATTCAAATCTATAAATTCATAAATTCGTTGAACAATTAAATTTCAGTGGTTTAAGAAAATTTTATTGATCAAAATTCATCATTGAGCGAAGACTAATTTTACAAAGAAATTTTGCCTGAGCTGAGAGGTCCTCAGTATTTGTGTATACCTTAGAACCAGCAACTGTTCTATTATTAAAAACCATAATCATTTGCCTGCAAGCATTTATTTCCCATTGGAAGCAAATTCATTCTTTAATATGACTCATATTTTTCAACATTGATTAACAAGAAACGTAGTTGAAGAAATTTGTTCTCGAGTTTCTGTATTCTTTATTGATTTTTTCTTCTCTCGATGTGCCTTTTTTTCTTCTTGTCCGTTAATTCCTTTAAATGTGTTAGCAATACATGCACTCGCATTAATTAAAAATAGCATGCTTGTCCTTTGATTCTCTTAGCTTTATAATCGTCGCATTGGGAATTAATTGTCCAGAAATGTGCTTCTTTTAGTCCTGTGTATACTTGTATGTGATGCTGATTACATTTTGCTTTTTTATGTGGTATTTAAAGGGCTTAACCAAATTTAATGCTAGATTTCATTAGGATATATGTTCTATTTATTTTATCTAGTTTTTCTTAGAAGGCTATTACTAATTAGCTTTTGCTTGTCTTGTTATTCATGTTTTTTATTTATCACCCTCACCATAATCATTCATGCTTTGGAGTCAAAAACGTTAATAAACGGATGCCTTTTATAGTATTAATGGGACTCGTTACCCTGATCAGAAAAGTCGTATTTACCCTAAGTTGCAGGATTTGATTTTGTAGTCCCAAGTGCTGTTTTAGAAGGAAGGAGAAACGAGAAAAAGAATGTTTGCCATTTTTTTTTCTCATCACAACTAAATTTTCTTGATTCAAATCTCTTGCATGTCTTTTAGATTGCTGTAGTATTTGTCGTAGAAATCAAAATTGAATTGAGTAGTTTATCAAAATTGTAAAATGTGTTTGAAAAAAACCTTTGCTGTGCATCTCGTTGGTAGTTTCTGACTCTTAAGGCAATGGATGAAGCTTAGTCTAGCAAATTCCATGCTTAGCAATGTGTTTCCTTGCAGTTCTATAATGCGCGCATTGACTGGAAGACCTACGAGTGCCCGGCTCCTGATTTCGAAAAATCTGAGTGATGCCGAAATCGTAACGTCGTTTACAGCTTTGCATCACAGCCACGCTCTACTTTTGCTTCTGTCTCACGCCACTGTCATGCCTGTCAAGTCTCTGTCACACGCCTGTTGAGTCTCTGTCACACGCCTGTTGAGTCTCTGTCACACGCCTGTTGAGTCTCTGTCACACGCCTGTTGAGTCTCTAGCCTGTTGAGTCTGCCTCACGCCTGTTGAGTCTGCCTCATGCCTGTTGTCTCTGCCTCATGCCTGTTGTCTCTGCCTCATGCCTGTTGAGTCCCTGTCACACGCCTGTTGAGTCAGGTCACACGCCTGTTGAGTCCCCGTCACACGCCTGTTGAGTCTCTGTCTCACGCCTGTTGAGTCTCAGTCACACGCCTGTTGAGTCTCTGTCTCACGCCTGTTGAGTCTCAGTCACACGCCTGTAGAGTCTCTGTCACACGCCTGTTGAGTCTCTGTCACACGCCTGTTGAGTCAGGTCACACGCCTGTTGAGTCTCAGTCACACGCCTGTTGAGTCTCAGTCACACGCCTGTTGAGTCTCTGTCTCACGCCTGTTGAGTCTCAGTCACACGCCTGTAGAGTCTCAGTCACACGCCTGTTGAATATCAGTCTCATGAATGGGTTGCTCGCAATATCGTTGCGCTCTTGTGATGCCTGAATTGATTGTGTTGCACCTGTTTCGTGTCCATCTCATACATTTTCACGTTAGGCTTTATTCCGAAAGCTGACATCATGCATGCTTGCTACTCCCCGCCTGTTAATTTTATTCTTTGTATAGCATGGTCGACTGTGAACCCTGAGTTGATAGGTGTGAAACAACGGATTTTTATTTTGGTTTGATATTAGCTCTGCAGTTGAGTATAAGTTTTGAAACACCATTCACGTTAAACTTGCATGCCTCTCAGACGTGAGATGTTGACCATGTATGATTGAGACTCGCTGGACACGTGAAGCTTGTCTGAGATTACACAGCCAAAATTGAGATTGAGCAAAAGCGAACTTGTAGCGGAATGAGTAGTGGAATGAAAGTTAGCAAAGGACAGATGCAGAGGTAAAGTAGTCTGGCCATCCTCTCCTTGGTCAATGCATGGTGCATAGAGCATAGCTGCTTCTAGATTATATGTTCATGTAGATCGAAGTATTTTGTTCTCTGTAAAGTAACGCTACTCACTCTATATCATTCGTCATTTATAAATATCTACATTGTCTGATTAAAGTCTAAATTTTAGTCAACAATTTTAATGTAGAGTTTACTCATCGATCTTCGCCGTGGTAAGCTATTAGATAATGCAATTCGGTCGACCACTTTCCGTAAGTAATAAAGTTCTTAAATTAAAACTAAATTGAATTTTCAGAGATAGTCAATTCATTTTTTCTTTCATCTGATGGCGTTACAGGTGCCTTGAGTTCGGCCTTGTCAGATCTCGATCTGGAATAATATTATATATTTATTGTAGATACAATTCACAATTTATTTCCCTTCTCCTGAATCTAGTGTAGGGTACAGGATTTACTCTATTCTGATGATGAGCACTATAGGTTTTATGATAGGTACCTTATAGTGCCCTGCCTTCGTTCCAATATGGCTTGAAAATAACACGGGTATATAGGGTACACATTTATTGATTGAATAAAATGAATCGGGATGCGTTTATTTACATCCTTTTATTTTGTGCCTTTGTTGCTTCTGATCAATCTCTTGAGACGTTTTTATAGTATCCAGTTGATTTTTCTTGTGGACATCGTACACTACTCATGAAGTTTGACAAGATTTTTCATTGGTGATTGAATTTAATGGCTTTTACAACGATGCTAAATTAATGTGTGCAAGAAAAATTTTCATGGCTTGATAATATGAAATTTTATGTTATTTTGTCCATGTCACGTTTTCCTTTGTTTAAAACGTTGAATCCAACTGTGGCATTTTTTTTACTAAACTTCAAGCGTATCATTGGTAGATCAGCATGACTCGGTAGATGAGATCAGCATGACTCATCAGTGGTAGATCAGCATGACTTTGACTCGGTAGTCGCCTGTTTTTTAAAAAATGAATTAAATAACTCCGTGTGTGAATGTAAGAAATGAGTGATCTCTACACAACTGAGAGATGTGCTCCTTCTCGTAAGTAAACTTTGACGCTTCTAATTCATGAACGAATGATCATTATTGTTTTAACAATTAGATCTCCTAACGAATAGGCTAACGCTTTAATCACAATAGATATGCAGTTGGGATAAAGCAAGGTTTGAGCACTTACATCATGTCCAGATGCTAATTTGACTTTTAACCCATAAACGGGCAAGTTACCATATATGGTCACTTGAAATTGCCTCACAAAAAGCCCCACCACGGCTTCATATTTGTGTTTGCGGCTTCCTTATAATGCCTCAGTCAATCACTAATTATCTGACCATCGTTCCATCCATAGCCCGACCACCTATCGTACCCAAAAATCAAAATATGAGCATCTGAATAAAGTCTTGACTCGGACAATGAAATTGACACTCTTTCCGCATTTTTTCAAAAAGGTGGAAGCATCAATATATATTTAATTATTCAAGGTAATTTGATTGAAAGGAATTGAATTAAATTGTTATGTTATTAATTTTTTCATCTGCAAAAACTAAATTTTAATTATAAAAAAAAATTTCTCGTGTAGTGACCGCATTTAATAAATTCTTAAGTGCAATTCAAACCTCCAATATGCAAAATTTTAAAGCGTACATACAAATAAATATTTTGTATAATACTTCATACTTTCTTGAACCAGTTTCTGAAATTTTAATTTCTGGATATTTCAATGCTTGCCCTCTAAAGGGTTAAATGCATGGTTGTACTATGTAAGGTTGACCCACGAGAAGTTCCGTCTTTTAGTTCAGCTTTCTTGTTACGTCACTGAGATCGAGAAACGTAAACAAGCCCGTCGTTCCCATGACGGATTGGTTGACTGGTTTGATCGCGTTTCTTTGATTGGTTAATGCCCGTGACGTCACTGAGATCAGTGACGTCACAGGCGAACAACGAACGTTATCCGCAAAAATGAGCTTCTGATGGGTCAACCTTATACTAGTTCAACCATGATTAAATGTATCCTACGGTATCGCGTAATAAATCCTTCAATCTTTCCCGTGAGAGGAGTCAACTTTGACAGCAGTGGAATGTTGATCATATTTCGTGGACGCAATTTCGAAAAAAGCTTTTTTTTTCGTTGCTATGCAATCATTTTTTTTAATGTAATTGAACAGATAATTTGGTGTAGCCTTCAATTTAATTATTAAAGATCAGCAATGTTCTCTGCATTAGGTGAACGTTTAGAAAGAAAAAATATGGGTAAACATTCAGTTCGCTAAATTTTTTTGTGGCTGATGCGGTCGGTCTTAAATGGCCAGTCTATGAAAAATATTTTATTTAATAATTAATTTGAAATATTTTTCGACTAAGCGAAATTTTGTTCTTGTAAAATACCGACGCTTGAAAAGATCTTTGGCGATGCTAGGAAAGTTTTAACGATGAAAAGCATAACCGGATCGAGTCCCTTCTAAAGGCAAACAAAAATATGCTCACCACATCTGTGGCCTCGGCAAAGTGTTATTAACGTAGGTGCCAGTTACACTTTAATCGGTGGTATTATTGCCGCTTGCGTAAATCAGTATTCCACGATGGAGTGAATAATTCTGCCTGCTACGTTCAGAATAAAAGTTGATTTATAAAATATTTTTCATCCTCATTATTATTCCATGATATTTCCTTCGCAGGAGATATTTATTTATCATGGAAGCATGAAATTCTTATATCTACTTGTTCCATTGAATACTAATTGGTAATGTTGAAAATGATTCTGCTTGTTTCTATTGTCTTAGTAATGTAATTGAACTACCTTTTTCCTACCAATTTAATTTTCTTTCCCTAGAATTTTTAATATGAAGAGTCAGCAAACTTGTCAAATTATTGGTAATTTTTCCACTTTTTTGGACTTATTAATTTTCTTTCAACAAATTTATCAATTTTTTGCTTCAATCAAAATGTTTCTCTGGTCAGGGCATTATTTCTCAAGATTATTTGGCAATTATTAATCATTCATAAATGTTCCAGCATCTGCTCAAGAAATTAAATGTAGAAATATTACCCAGAATCTTGAAATAACAACTAAGCTTTCCATGCTCTTGAAAGCCTGTATGGTTTCATGCATTTCAAATTAGTAGCTTAATTTTTCTGCTTCAGTTGAGCTGGATATTTGGTAAATATTTGTTGATCTTGGGAAGCTGAAAATTTTAATTACAATTTTCTAGTATTGCTTCATCTGGTATCCTAACATTTTTATTGCTTTAATACTAATTTTTACTATTGAATACCAGAAACTACTGATGAAAGAACTCAAATGCAAAAAAAAAACTTTCACTAAATAATAGTCATCAATATTCTTTGAATTTCAAGGAAAATGTTTGTAATCATTTCTATAAATTCATAAATTTTGGGTAAACAATCAAATTTTATTGGTTTAAGAAAATTTTATTGATCTATAAATGTGAATGGGTGGCGACTAATTTGTACAGGGAATTTTACCCAATCTGAGAGGTCATTAGTATTTGTATACCTCAAATAGAAACTTACATTATTGAAAACCATTGTCATCTGCCTGCAAGCATTTATTTCCCATTGGAAGCATGTTTTTTCTTTGATATTATGATTAATAATTTTCAACATTGATTAACAAGAAACTCAGTTGCTGAATTTTGTTCTCAAGTTTCTGTTTTATTTATTGATTTTTTTCCTCACTTGATGTGCTTTTTGTGTTCTATGCTGGAATATATGATAAATTCCTGGAAATATGTTAACACTACATGCACTCGCATCACTAGAAATAGCATGCTTATTCTTTGACTTACTTAGCTCTATAGTCGCATTAGGATTTAATTGTCAAGAAACGTGCTTCTTTTATAGTTATGTGTATACGTGTATGTGATGCTGATTACGTTTGCTATATTACCTATGTGGTATTTTAATGGCTTAGCCAAATTTAATGTGATGATTTCAATAGGATATATGTTTGATTTTATTTGATTCAGTTTTTGTTAGAATGCTATTAATGTTTAGCTTATGCTTGTCATGTTATTCATGTTTTTATGTATCAGCCTCAACGCAATCATTCATGCTTTGGAGTGAAAAACGTTTATAAACGGATGCCTTTCATGGTATTAAAGGGACTTTTTCCCCTGATAAGAAAAATCAAATATGCTCTTATCTTTCACAATTTAATTTTGCAATACCAAATGTTGTCAATTCCAAAGGAAAAGATAAACGTGTAAAAGAATGTTTGCCTACTATTTTGGTTTCCATTTTTTCACGTTGCAACCAGATTCTCTTTATTTCAATCTTTTACACGTCTTTTTCTATGATATTCTCAAGATTGTTTTGCAATCAAAACATTGACGTTATTTCTTATTACAGATTGCGGGAGTATTTATAATAAAAATCAAAATTTTTATTTGTCGTAAAAATCAAAATTTTATTCTTTGTAAAAATCAAAATTTATCGTATAAGTAAAAAAATTTTTAAAAGTGATAAAAAACATGAAGTGCATCTTCTTGGGCGTTTTTGACTCTGAAGCAATGGACGAAGCTTAGTCTAGCAAATTCCATGCTTAGCAATGTGTTTCCTTGCAGTTCTATAACACGCGCATCGACTGGAAGAACTACGAGTGCCCGGCTCCTGATTTCGAAAAATCTGAGTGATGCCGAAATCGTAACGTCGTTTACAGCTTTGCATCACAGCCACGCTCTACTTTTGCTTCTGTCTCACGCCACTGTCATGCCTGTCAAGTCTCTGTCACACGCCTGTTGAGTCTCTGTCACACGCCTGTTGAGTCTCTGTCACACGCCTGTTGAGTCTGTCAGTCTCACACACGCCTGTTGAGTCTCTGTCAGTCTCACACACGCTTGTTGAGTCTCTGTCAGTCTCATGAATGGGTTGCTCGCAATCTCGTTGCGCTCTTATTATATGTTTCAATTGTGTTGCGTCTGTTCCCTGACCGTCTTTCACATTTTCACGTTAGGCTTCATTCTCAAAGCTGGCCTTGTGTATGCTTGCTTCTGTCTGCCTGTTTTCTTCTGTCCGCCTGTGTTCGAACCTTAAGGGGGGGGGGGTATACCCTAATACTTTCGGATTTGGCTTTTCCGGTTTTTAGTCTCATCTTGAAGCTGACATTCTGCCCTATCCAACGGTACCATTGCCATCTCTGTACGCTGATTTATGCTTTCACGACTGATCATGAAAGGGGGGCGGGTGGGGGAGTTCTTTAACAAATTAGATAGTAACTAATTCGGTGCCAGCACTAAATACAGTGTTTGCTTGAGGTGCAGCTCAGTAACCCACCTGGCGATGTATGAGGAGGTGCGCATGTAGTCGCTCCCACCATCCTTGAGTAGAATTAAGCTCCAGAAACGTTTAGTTTCGTATCCTTGCTACATTGAGTGCCTATTGCGATGCGGGCTGGACTTAGTCACGCTCTCCTGAACATTCACAGTTATTGTCACGGAAAACGTATCTCCTCCTAGAGTTTTGAAGCTACCGCGATGAGACACACACCATTCGATTCGTAAAGACCATACCTATCGAGTAACGAAGCCCTTTTTTAGATTTGTGCATAGTTTGGATTCAAAATGGGGGGGGAGGGGGGAAAATTTGAAGAAAATGAGAAGAAAACGGAGAAATGCGTGTATAAAACTAAGGCAAAAATCAAAAAATCGGACCTCGTTACTCGATTGGTATGGTCTTTACGCATCGAATGATATGCGTCTCAATGTTGTAGCTTAAAAACCCTAGGAGGAGATAGATTTCTATAGTACCCCTTTTTGTCCGTTTTCTATGAATTTCACGTTTTCTATTAATTTTTCCAAAAAAAATCATACGAACAAAATTTTCTTGTATTTTGGTTTTACATATATGTGTGAAGTTTCAGAAAGATCCGTTAGTAAATGTGGAAGTTTTTCTGGAGGGCATACCCCCCTCTTAATCCTCTACCGCCGTAGGTATGTCACTCTCCGGGAACATAACTTTCAACTTAAATTATACGTAAACTATTGATTGTAGCAACCTGAGGACGTTTGTACGCAACAGAGAACATTTTAAAGTTGTCGTACGTGGCGGCAACCATCAGTGCAAGTCATTTTGCGCTCACTAGAACGTATCCTTTTTGGGAAGTAGGCGCGTGACAATATTGCTCCGGTTACTCATATCAGGCGGTAGAGGGTTCAGTTAATTGGAGTGCAACGTTTGTGTGATACAACGGACTTGTATTTCGGTTTGATGTCAGCTCTACAGTCGAGAATAAGGTTTGAAATGCCATTCACGTTGAACTTGTATGCCTGTCTGGTAGTATAAGATGTGCTACCATGTATGATTGAGACGCGCTGGACATGTGAAGCTTGTTTGAGATTACGCAGAAATTCAGCAAAAGCAAACTTGTAGTGGAATGAAAGTTAGCAAAGGACAGATGCATAGGTAAAGTTGTCTGGTCCATCCTCCTTGGTCACTGCATGGTGCATAGAGCATTAAGCTCTGCTTCTAGATTATATGTTTGTGTAGATCGAAGTATTTTGTTCTCTGTAAAGTAACACTACTCACTCTATATCATTCATCATTTATTACTATCTTCATTGTCAATCTGATTCAAGTCTCAATTTTAGTAAACAGTTGAGTAACAATTTTTGAACAATTTCAGTTACAAACTTCTTGAATAAAAACCAAATTGAATTTTCAGAGATATCGTCAATTCATTTTTCTTTCATCTGATGGCGTTACAGGTGCCTTGAGTTTGGCGTTGTCAGATCTCGATCTGAATAATATTATATATTTATTGTAAATACAATTCACATTTTATTTTCCTTTGCCTGAATCTAGCGTAGCGTACAGGATTTCTTCTATTCTGGTGATAGGCACTATAGGCATTTCAATACCTTTAGGGCCCTGCCTTCGTTCCAACATAGCTTGAAAATAACGGGTAGGTACAAAAGGTTCACATTTATTGATTGAATAAAGTAAACCGGGGATGCGTTTTTTTCATCCTGATAATATTCTCTGAAAAACTTTATTTTGTACTTTTGTTGCTTCTGATTAAGCTCTTTTTTTTAATTGCTTTTTTTACAGTATCCAGTTGATTTTCCTTGTGGACATCTTATAGTGCTCTTCAAGTTTGATAAGCTTTTCATTGTTGATTCAAATTCATTATTCTTAGCGTTTACAACGATGCTTAATTCATTTGTGCAACAAAAATTTCGATTTGGCATGATTGTATGAAATTTGATGTTAGCATCTTGTTTAATGTCACGTTTCCCTTCGTTTAGGACGTTGAATCAAAATGTGGGAATTGTTTTACTTAACTACACGCGTTTCAATGGTAGATCAGCATGAATGAATTTTTTACTCGGTAGTTGCCTATCATTTAGTGGTCTGTAGATAAAATAGATTAACTAACTCCGTGTGTCATGCTAAGCGACTGAGAGATGTGCTCCTTCTAGTAAGTGAACTTTGACGACTCTATTTCATGAACGAATGCAGATAATTTTTTTCAGCAATCGAATCTCCCAACGAATAGAATAGAAGTGTCGCCACTGAAGAAATAGGCCCATGGCCTGTTGCCGATTCTTGTACTTTTCGTGACTTGATTCACAAGGGATCCGGCCTATGGAACCCGATCTTTCCATAACTGACTATTGATTGAGATAGCTACTGGACTTATTACGAGGCCCGTAAGGTGTTAGGCATTTCAAGACTGAACATATGCTCCTGCATAGCTTTGAATAGCTTAACGCATTAATCACAATAGATATGCAGTTAGATAAAGCAAGGTTTGAGCACCTGCATCATCTACAGATACTAATTTGACTTCAAAATGTATCATACGGTATCCCGGTAATAAATCTTCCAATCTTTCCCATGAGAGGAGCCGACTTTGACGTCAGTGGATTGTTAGAGATCACGTTTCGTGAACACAATTTCGAAAAAAGCGTTTTATCGTTGCTATGCAATCCTTTTTGTTGATGTAATTGAGCAGATATCGCGGTGAAGCCTTCATTTAATTATTATAGATAAGCAACGTTCTCTTTATTATAACGTTGAGAAAGAAAAATATGGCTAAACGTTCAGGTCGCTAGCTTTTTTTTAGCTAATGCATTTGATCTCAAATGGCTAGTCTATGAACAACTTTTATTTAGTAATTAATTTGGAATATCTCTCGACTTGACACTTGATTTTGTTCTTGTAAAATATCCACGCTTGAAAAAGGTCTTTGGTGATGCCAATAAAGTTTTGGCGATGAAAAGCATAACCGGACAGAGTCGCTCCCGAAGGGAAACAAAAATATGCCAGCCACATCTGTGGCCACGCACGGTAAAGTGTTAACGTAGGTGCCCAGACTTACTTTAATCTGTGGTATTATTGCCGCTTTCCTAAATCAGTATAACACGATGGACTGAATAATTTTGCCTGTTACGTTCAGAATAAAAGGCGGCCTCTACACCCAATGTCCGGCAGAAATTAGGTGTCGAAAAAGCGCGGGAAACTTGTGCAGAGGAGCTGCGTCATTAGTGGTACCCAAACACGATGGAATGCTTTTGAATTTGGTATGCAAATTGCATATAATATAGCCGTTTTAGCGATTTTTAGGCCGTAGGCCTGTCGCTGATTATTAACATTGCAGAGCATCCACAGCATTACTAGCAGCTCACTGCTTCAAATTCTCTATTTTTTAACCGCCCCGCCTCCTTGCCGATTCTGACCAGAAACTGGCGCACAGAGCTGGGATGGAACCCGCACCTCTCTGCTCCAATCTTGGTACTCTGTACTTTAATTAACGCCTTTCCATGCACAATACCTTTAATCGGCTTTAATTTTTATGTCACGTGTAGTTTGATGTTGATGCATCTTGTGCGAGTATGTTTTCTTTTCTTATGCTTATCTTCGTTTCGTTGCACTCGCCGCACGTTTTCAACGCACTGACAATTTTGAAAACTTCCTCCCTCTGCTAGGCGTTGGATGATTTTTAGTCGAGAAATGAGCGACTTTGAAACAACCTTTTCGGTGCCGTTAAATTTTTATTCTCTGGTACGAGATTACTTCAGACATCATGCGTAATCAAACCTCAGTATCGAGAAGCATGCATACACACTCTCTGTGTCGTCCACGCTTTGTACAACGGCATTTTAGCCATTGAAGACTTCTCGGAATTTATAACTGACTTTTCCGCATGATGCAATAACAATCGCCGAAGTTCGCTATGCTTCAAGGCAGATCAAATGCCTTCGATCAAGTCATTTTTAACTTCTTTGTGTGGCAGACCTTGGCGAAAGAATTTCAATTCTCGCATCATCGGAGAATGTGGTTCCTTCTTCAGTAGCTGTAGATATTATTCAAGACATTTTTTTGCTGTAAGCGCGATTTATCGAAGGCACTGGCGTGTAACAGATGAAGCAAGGTTTGTTTTTGTTTTAGAACTTTCACTTGTTAATTAATTTTCAAACTGATAATCCTAAAACTTTTTACTTCACTATCTACATCTGTCAGGCATTTCATTGTGTAGACGCAATTAACTTGAATTTACCTGAAAAGGTTCTCTTTGAATTTGAATTACATCTAGAGAGCGTTATCTAGGGGAAGCTGTTCTAATTTCATCCACAGCCCCATTTCACTGTAACCAGTCACCGCATCGTTGCGTAAATCTATTTCTTCATGAATTCTATTTTTATTGCGAGGCATTAGGTGTAACTTTCTGAATTGTACACGAGCGGATTTTACCTTCAGCCAAAACAGATGATCATCCGAGTAATATACTTCAATAATCGATAGATAACTCTGCGTGTGAAAATTATATTGTCGTTCATTAAATCAACTTACACTTAGATTCTATTGTAAGTTCATCAGGACAAATGCAATGAATTTTTTTCCTGCACAAATGTTATTTAGTTTCATGAACTCTTTCTATTTCAGTTCTTCAACCAGCACATCAATTGGGACGAGTACAAGAACCCAGCGCCTCGCTACGACGAAAAGGAAGATTGAACGTTTAGCAACAGAGTTTGGATCATAAGTTCCCCAGCCTGTACATATTACATGTTATTACTATCAAATAATCTGATAGGAGTTCAGTTTCCTAAGCACTATCTGATTGAAGGAAATTGGTAAATTCTTCCATTTCATTCCATTACCATTGCA